TTATAGTATTTGTAGTATCTACGTTGGTTCCGTTAGAATTAGAAGCGCTGGAATTATTTGTTTCAGAATTGATGTTGCTAGATGCTTCGTTTGTTACATTAATCTTTCCTTTGCTCCTGCCCCTTCGAAGGGTTACAGTAGGTTGAGTATTTGTAGTATCAGCATTGGTTCCATTAGAATTAGAAGTGCCAGCATTATTATTTTCAGAATTGGTGTTGGTAGGTGTTTCGCTTGTAACATTAATGTTTCCTTTACTCCTACTCTTTCGATGAGTTGTAGTAGGCTGAGTATTTGTATTATCGGCATTATTGGTTCCAATAGAGTTAACAGTATTTGCGTTATTGGTTTCATCTTTTCGTTTAGGACCACGTCTAGTAGTAGTAGAGGCCGTTGCTTCAGCTTGAGAAACAACTTCAATATTATTCTCAATAGGATTTATTGGTTTACGACCACGTTTAGTAGTTGTTGTTTCGGTGATTTTGGCAGGAGATGAATTGACCGTTGTAGGTTCAATATTTTCGTTTTCATTTTTAGCATTTGTTTCAATTGGTTTTACTTTGGGCTTTCTTCCACGTTTTGACTTGATCATTTTAGATATTAGTTTTTTTTTTAGTGGAAGTGGTGATTTAAAATCACCAATTAAAGACTTTAAAAATTTGATATGAAACTTAAAAATAACGCGACCAAGATCATCAGATCAGAAAGACGCGATCAAGATCGTCAGATATCCAAAATCGTGACTTATTCGATTACCAAATAAATTTAAATATCAAGATAATCTTCAATAATTATCTGGGAAATCGATACACTTTCCGTTATTCTTTTAATATTCATAATACTTTTTACATAATGCACCCAATTCCCGTCATTACTTTCTTCACAACTGGATACAACAAAAATACACCTCACGGTTTTCAACAGTTATTGAGTAAATGATATAAAAAACAAAAGACTTATTCAATAGTGAACTAAAGAGGGTGTATAAAAAAAAATTTTTGCGAAGTGGAAAAAGAAGGGGAGGAAAATATGTTTGGGTAAATGTTTAATAAAATATTCTTTTAAATGATAAATTATTTTTTTAATTATTTATTAATAAAAATTTAAAAATTTTTTTAAATAAATTAGAATAAATTGTTTAAAGAGTAACAAATTTTGGTTCAGAATTAATAAATTTTACAATTTACTTGGAATTTTTATGAAATAATGAAATAACAATGCGTTATAGTAATAATGTAATGTGTTATTATTATTATTTTTATTATTATTATTATTAATTCTTCGACAATTTTTTTATAGAATTTTTTTTTCAAAATTGTAATTTTATGATTTTTA